CCTGGGGGTGCTAATGTAAGTATATGTTGATCGCCACGATTGCGGGGGCACATAAGGTGCTAAATCGATACCACAAGAACACCCCCGACGAGTCCATGACTTGGCCCACATCCGCGATGATCTCAGAGCCCGTAAAGACTTGCGATGAGCTTAACAAAGCAAACGTAGACTTGCGATGAGCTTAGTATCCATCACAGACTTGTGATGAACATAAAACACCACTTGGGACCCACGGTGAACAATGGGCGTCACCTAAGACTAACACGTGGCCACTAGGAATCCCATAAGGGGACGTAGCCTACACATGCCACATGAGCACCTTAAGAGAAAGGAAACTTTGTCTTTGAAGGATCTTGTTGGAATGTGGCGAAACCCCAATGGTACTCCCTTAATAGCCAACATAAAGATAAATATCCCATTTCCTAATAGGAAAGGTCTCCTTTTAGATCCTTCTCTTTATAACCTTGGGGTCCTCTCTATAAAAAGAGATATCTCTCCCCCACGTTGGAGGAGAGGATATGACCTTGACCTAGGGCTTTGCAAAAAGAGACTCTCCCTCTTCTCTTCTCTCTCCTCTCTTCCCCACATTCTCCCTCTTCCTTGTCACCTTCTCCAAACCTTTGGAGACTCGACCATCTGCCAACAGGAGTCCATGTTATCAACACCTAGAGCTTGGGGTTTGATAGGTTTAGGAGTGTTCTTTTGAAGGTGGATTTCAAACAATTCCAAGCGGATCATACACTACTAATCAAGAGGAGAGACAACAAAGTAACTACAATGATAGTTTATATTATGATATTGTAGTTTTTGGGATTTAGTTAATACATGTATTGTCAGGGAAATTTATATTTATTCTTCAGAGAGAATACATTTTTTATCTGTATAAGGACATTGGAAAGTTAGAGATCAAACCAGCTGATGGTTATGACCATCTCACAAGATTTGTGCTATTGAAGGTGATCTAGTAACAGATAAGGGTATGCACCAAAGCCTTGTTGGAAGACTGTTTTTATTTGATTAACTACACCATATGAGAAAGTTGACAACAATGCGTGTATTAATTTACTACACTGACAGCATAATCAATATCAAGACGAGATAGACAAACTTAAAGGGTACTTGGGGAAGATGCCCTTACCTATTCTTCTCATGGACTTCATCTATTCTTCTTATGGACACTTCAAAAAGCCTATACCAATGTTTTTTTTTTTTGATAATTGAAATGATTTTATAAATCAGCAATAAAATAGTACAAAGTCCTCATGGAAAAGTACGAGTTGCAACCTCTCCAGGCTAGTTAAGTACAAATTCCCAAATTAATAATAACTTACATAGGAGCACAAAAAAGATCTTCCCTATATACCCCCTGTATGGCTAGAGCATCAGCCAAAGAATTAGCAGACCTACTAACCCATTTTACCTCCACTCTCATATTGCTGGTTAACCACTTTACTTTTTTTATGAGATCTTTGTAGCCCCAAATGGTGGTATCCAAGTTTAGGAGCCACCTGGTTACCACCTGAGAGTCCCCTTCAACTAGGAGATGCTCCACCCCAAGCTGGTTGGCGATCTGAATTCCTTGTACTGCAGCAAGTATTTCTGCCCTTGTGGAATCCCCCACTCCCACCGGTCCTGAGAATAGGGAAATTATGTTACAGTCCTTATTTCTCAGGATACCCCCTATACCTGAAGGCCCGGGATTGCCTTGGCTGCTTCCATCAAAGTTCAGCTTAATGACACTTTCCAAAGGCGGAACCCATTCTGACAGAATTCTATCCTTCTTTGTTGAAGTGTTAGCTATTACTAGCCAATTTCTCCACAAATCATCAAAGGAGAAGTCATCAAAGATATCCACAGTTTTCAGCCAATAGAATGTTGTCAGTTGGTGATAAATGATCTATCTCTAGCTACTGTGTTTTAGTTGGAGCTAATCTTATTTCTTGGAGGAGTAAGAAGCAATTTGTAGATTTTTTTTTTTTTTTATCAATAACAGAACAATTTCATTACTATAGAAAAGAGGTACAATAGAACACCATAGAGAGAGGTAAACTCTCTTAACTCTCCCCAAGATGACAGCTGATTACACAATTACAGCTTTGTATTACCCGCTATATCGGTTGGTTTATCTATATTACTCACTATGGCTTAACTTCTATGCTTTGTATTATCCGCTTAAACTTCTTTCATTATTATAGTTAAACCAACCAATATCCTCCTTTTGCAGCCAGCTCACTACTATGAATCCCCTTCAACGATCAATCTTCTGATGTTCAATTCCTTTGCTTTTTGAAATCTTTCCATCAAAGCCATGATTTTCAGCCCTCAATTAATCACTCATACCTATTGGGCCCGAGTAGAGAGCAATAATTCTTCTCTCATTCCGGAAAATACTTTGTCTGAAGCACCTCGGTTCCCTTCACTACTACCATCAAAATTCAACTTGATAAACGTGGAAGTAGGCAGGGACCATGTCAGCCTAGTGACAACAGACAACTTTAGAGAGAGAGGAGTTAACCACCTCCTTCCACTTTCTAAACGGGTCATCAGTAGAAATACCTTCAAAACTACTCAGATTTTGTCCACTGGACCACTTTGATGGTAATGGTTTCAATGAGTGCTTCTCTGCTCTTCTCTTCATCTGAAAAAACTCTTTGGTTCCTTTCCTCCTAGATCGTCCAACAAACAACCACCCACCTCCACAAAATTCTCCTCCTTGTCATTTTCCATTTGACAAAGGTAGAACTGAACAAGTTTTGTACATTTGGCGGGGGGTCCCACCTACACCCAATCAAAGAGAGAAACCATTCCCAAATAGCATAAACAAAAGGACATGAGATTAATAAGTTGTAGCAAGTATCGCCATTGGCATTACACAGGATACACCAATTAGGAGAAAGACACCTATTTTGTCTCTTTTTGAAGGAGATCGCAAGTATTGATTCTTTCCAGGATCCTAGCAAAAATCACTAACCCTAGGAGGAATAGGCTTGTCCCAGATCTCCTTAATAGGAAAAGGCACCAAAGAGCTGTTTGGGGGTTGGGTCAAGGCATCAAGAACACCCCATCCAAAAGATGAAGTACGAAACATCCTAAACCCCAAATTCCTGGAAAAGTCAGAACTGGAGCTAGAAGGCATCAAGAAAGAAGACACAGGCTCATCCCTAAGTTGGACAAATTAAAAAGAGATGGAAATTGTTTCTTCGGTGGTGAGTCACCCAACCACACATGTTCCCAGAATTTAACAAGGTTTCCAGAACACAAGTTATATTTGATAAAAGCTAAGAATACATGTAGAATATTACGGATAGATTTCCGGGCTGAATCTCTTGTTACTCTAGCCCAAAGTCCATCCCATCCCTTGGTCACAAGCCCATGAATGCTTATTATCACCTTTGCCCACAATTTATCCTTTTTTGTGGCAGTCTCCAAAACCACTTACCCAATAGAGCTATATTCCTTTTTTGGATATTCTCTACACCTAGACCACTGAATTTCTTGCACCATCTCCCAATGAATTCTATTATATTTCTTCTCTCATGGATCCATAAAAATCCATAATCAATTTTTCCAATCTTCTTCTCACCCCTTCTAGAGTTTTGAACACAATCAAATGGTACACCGGCAAGTTGGTCAACGTTGACCTAATCAATGTAATCCTACCCCCAAATACAGGTAACTTCTCTTCCAAGAGGCCATTTAGTGAATATCACAATTACTAGGTTCCAAAATCTAGCATTCTGTGGTTGCAAGGTCAGGTATAAAAATTGAATATAGAGCTATGGCTCATATAGTTTTAGAAATACTATGGTTGCGTAATTTGTTAAGAAAGATGGGTGTTGACCATGAATGCATAATGATGCTGTATTGAGATAATTAGGAGGCAATAAATATTGCAAATAATCCTGTACAGCCTGACTGCATCAAGCATATTGAGGTTGACACTTTATCAAGGAAGACATTGCTTGTGGTGAAGTTTTTCTTTTCGTTTTGTCAAGTATGAAGCTTAATCGGTATACTGCCTCACCAAAGTTCTATGATCCAACTTGGATCCAAATCTATGCGAGCTGGGCATGTACCATTATCTATGCTCAATTTGAGGGTGAGTGTTGATAGCTGCTTATTACCATTGGGGTAGTTTAGTTCTTGTGTTGGTGTAACTTTGTGTACTAAGTATAAATGATAATGAGGAGGGGCATTTCTAACACTTTTGGGCATCCTCAACTTTCCTTAACTTCATTTTCTTTCTCATACCTTGTTCACACTAGAAATCACTAAATATATAGAATACTTGAAGTAATTCTTATCTGACTGGTTTTGAAGCGGTTTCTTGTTCTTTTCCACTTAATTGGACATTTAGTTGCAGAGTGAAACTGTTTGTCAATTTGGCACACTTTTGGATCTTTGTTGTGTAGGTCATTCTGTTTCTTGTTCTAAAATAGAACGATGCCATTGATTCGGTGGATGATATAGTGATGTGAACAGGATTTAGAATTCCAATTCTACAAAGTATGCATTATTTGGTAACTAATTTGAAAAACAAATGACTGAAAATCTGTGCTATACATAAATTAGTTAATTCCGTATGGATGTGTAAATTAAATTTAGTTGCATTTTCTATAAAAAATGTATTTCAAAAGCAACATGGGGCAGATCTCACAGTATTTGTGTGGATTACAGTAGTGTCCATTCAGACCATCATCTAGGTATACGGGCTGGCAATTCAGTATTAAAAGGAACGGGGCATTGTTGGATTGATTTAATCACATGCATGAGTCATCGAACTGACTCATGCTATTGACACTATCTGTGTAGTTCCGACTGAATGAGCATCTGTTTCCTGTTGGAAAAATACGTTTTCCTCAGCCTTCTTAAAGGCGCTTTGCTTAGTGGTCTATTTGCTGTTTGAAGATATAGTGAAGTTCATAAGTTATTCTTCTAATAATATCATGATGAAGCCTTGTCAATGTATTAATATAACAGTTTTCCTTGTTAATGTTCAGAGTGTTGCCTATGACAGAGCAAGTGCTCCAAGGGATTGTCGGATCTCCGGATGGTTACAAAAACGTGATATTGATCCATCCAGCCAGGAAGAGAAGATGTTTTTATTGACAGAGTTTACTTATGACCTTGATAAGAGCAATGCACAGACCTTCAATGTGGACCCAACAAATTCAGGTGCTATCAACTTTGTTAGGCTCGACTTCACTTCCAACCATGGAAGCCTCACTCACACTTGCATCTATCGCTTGAGGGTACATGGTTATGAACCTGATACAATTGCAGCCTTGGCAATGCAATCGTGATTTAAAAAGCATCATCCCTTTTCTCTACCGTACTGCTGATATTCAAGTTATTTTTGTAGTTTATCTTTTGTTGTACTTCCTCTTTCTTCCGATGTCCATCAACTATCTTCTTGTGACAATGTAAATTTTTCGGACTCTATGTTTTAGTTCTTTCTCTGTACTGGTTGTTCTAAGATACTATCTTAACTGGGCATATCTGAGACCCGAAACTGATTGAAATAGATTATGATGTGAACACAAAGTTATTTTCCAGAGAATTTTCAGCAAAACAGGAAAAAGGAAAGAGGGAGAGGAGATTCACTAGAGAAACCAGGAGCTTCAATTCAGTGTGACATGTGTCCCTTCACTTGTGTTCTTATATGAATAGGGATTATACGTGTAAGGGGACACCCCTCGTAAATTTAATGTAGGAGAAAGTTGAGGAAAGATCCGGACGCCACAACCTGGCTCATGCTATAACTTTTCATAAAGTAGCCCATCTATGCAGTTTCTCCCTAATCGGGTCAGCCAGATTGGAGTTTGTGAATCGGACTCTTTTCTGATAGCTCAGCCACTTAAAGAAGCAACAATTGTGCCTGTTGAAGTATTTATACAAGTTCCACCCATGCATGGAAAAAACCAGAAAAACTCGTATTCTTGACCTTTTAGGTTGAAGTCATTCAGCTATATTGTAAAGCTAGATATCTGCTTTATCGCGGCCAAACTAATAGAGTTTCTTAAACGCCTTATTCAGATTCTCCAAAGTGTGAGAGGAAATATCGTCGTCATCATCCAAGCCTTAACCCAATCATATGGGGTTGGTTATATAAATTTTGTTTCACCGTTCCATTCTGTTTAATGCTATATCCATTGTTAAACTATTGAAACTTAAATCATTTCTGTTGGTCTATCCCAAGCCCTTCTATCTCCTTCAACCAGTAAGAAATCACTTTTTATGGGTGTTGTTGATGGTTTATTATGCATGTGACCACTGACCAGAGCATCGAAATCCACAATAGAAATATTGGGATGGATGGGCTATGGTTATTTCAGTTTTATATTTATTGTTTATTTTTTGTGTCAACGGATTGTGGGCATATTGGTCTCTTTTCCTAAAGTTTATAGCAAGGTTCAAAATATTGATATGCCCGATACGCCGGTAGGGGTGTATCGGGCGATATCAATACTTTTTTTTTTCAAAACCGGTTCAGGGGGG